GCTTTTGCGAGAAACCGACCCCGATGATCGGCCGATTTGTTTATCTGCCGACGTGGAATATCAAAAGGATTAGAGGCGGCGAACAGATAATAAACATCGGCCAATAAAGATAGCCGAAAATAACGTGCTGTGCAACGCGTCTGTGTCTCTACACGAGTCCACCCGGACCGGTCTGATCTATGATTATGGATTCCGCGAGGTCGATACGGCAAACTTGTGTCTTTTGACGATCGCGCGAAATGTCTGCTCTGCCTTCTGCAGTTCCAGGTAGAAAAATCGTATATGATTTTGCACGATACATGCCGTTGAGACGCACAATATATTATTGTTTTGAATTTCCTTGTGTTGAGTCCTCAAACCAAAATATAGCTATATTTAAAATAAGAAAAATATTAGAAGAACAAATTCTGTGAAAATAAATTATGTATTTCTTCTATGACAAGCAATCTATCTGCTACGCGAAAATTAAAATTGACTTAGTAATTGATTTGATTTTTAATAGTTTGGAAAGCAATAATTCAAGGTAGAATTATATATATATTGAATAAGATAGTACATATGATAATATGTTTTACATGATCTACATTTTAATATCTTTCGTACATATAATTTGATTTGATATACATAATCTTAATTGTATAATATATAAAAAAGCAATGATTTTTATTTTAACTTAGATTACATATATAATGATAGTTTACGTGCAGATGATTTTGTCCTTGTTTATTCATTACAAATACTTAGCGAGAGAGGAAACTTATCATGATACACGTGGCATAATGAGATTTAATTACGAGAATATAAATAACACACATCAAGATCTATCAGATTACTATATTGCGAAAGGAAAGATGATAATCTCGCGTGGATTAATATATACAGTGTTCCATGAAGAAAAATTCATATTTTAACACTAGATGATAATAACATTTCTCTATGAGTTTTAATTTAACAAAAATAGTTATTTATAAGCTTATTAAGATGCGGATTATTGATGAATATTTATTTCAATTGGGAAAAAAATCGCTTTATACGTCGTAAAATCTATCGTAAAATTAATGTGAAGATTTAGGGTAGGGATATTTTGTATATAGAAAATCTAACACACATACAAAATGATGCTTATCCCAATTTATCTGCACGATCTATGCCGATCCGATCCTTGCATTATATAGCATCGTAGTCGCCAGCACGATATAGTTTGCGATGAAAGAGACGATGGACGAAAAAGACGGCCGCCTTCCGGCCGTGCATCCGCACGATGGACCATACCCCTTCGCTACACTCGAAAGGCGCCACGAAAATACCGCTTCCGGTTGCCCTAGATTCCCGCAATTCACGGGTCCCTCCCTCTCTCGCTCTCTTTCTTCTATCATTGCGGCATCATATGGGACGAGCGCGAATCCCGTTCAAAGCGCTCCAAATAATTTATGTATGCACAGGTCGCCCCCTCTTGTGTACGTCGTCGGGGAGGCCCGTCTCTCCTTTAAAATTCCATTAAAGAGTGCAGCGACCTTTTTTTTGTTCCTCGACTTCTTGTTTCGCGTACTGACCGCGAGAAGGACCGGTTTGTCCTCTTTCTTCTTCTCCTTCTGCTCCTCTCGATCATTTATTTATGAATTTCATAACGCGATATATTTTAGACGGTCGTGGTAAAATTGATATTTGGAGGCAGGAAGAGGTGAAGGGCCTTAATCCTATCTACGTGCGCTGTTCATGTCGGAGTGGTTCGCTCTTAGCAGCGCGACATAATTTTAGACAGTACCCGCAGTGACAGTCTTTATAACGCACGTGAAGTATGAACCACTTCCGGTGGATCTACGTCATCCGGCATGTCCCCTTGCACTCTCACTCCAGTGGCTCCGATTCTAAATCTAGACAAGCAAATCTCGTGGCCTTTAGCCTCGCATCTCGCGCGGCGCGTGTCGCGCTCACAAAAATCTGCTCTTCTTCGTGACGCAATGTTGCAAAACGCGCATTGTCCATGTTTGCCGTTAATCACGTGATGCCGTTAATCGTGAAAATAAAGATTATATAATTATTTACTTTCATTAGTTTTACATTATGTCTTATTCAAACATGATGCTTTCTTGTTCGCTCTCCAGATTCTGTATCAGATCGATGATCTACGATAGATAATCGGTCGAAGAGCGATTATAGTGGCAGATAGGTATGTTTCGGTAATTGCGTGGCTAAGTTTAGGCGGTGCAGTTGGCGTCAATGCGAGGATGCATATTCAGAACGGAGCTCCTCATATTCTTATGCTCACTTACTAAACCGCCGCGTCGCGTGTGGATGTGAATGTGAATGGAACTTGCTGGCACCCCGCCTGTTTATATTTAGCCACTGTGGGCGGTATAGCTGTCACGGATACGTATCATCGGCATAACTGAACTGTGCAAATGAATAATGAAGTTCCAGTTGTCCCTTTCTCTGTCTTTCTCCTTTCTATCCCTTCGCTTCTATGCCGGCCTATTATAGGTGCCGTGAACCGAGGACGTTACCCGAATTGGCATTACCCGGTCGCGTCTCATTGTCTCTCGGTGGACAATCTCTTCGCGCCACCGAAGCGAACGCGACACATGTGGTCTCAATGAACGCACATGCGTGTACGCTCGCAGGAACATAAACGCACAGTTCGGCAGCCTTTGAGCGGGGTTCGCTGTACCGACGCATCGTAAAAGATTGTAACGTCAACGAATACAGAGAATGAAGAATAGTAATACGATACTCTTAATCCTATAATGACTGCCCTGTTAGTTCCGTGCGGTTTAATGCGACGTTAAAACAACATATATATACTTGATTCCTTGTACATCGAATGTCATTTCTGTAAATTATTAAAAGGAGAAAACGCACTTAATATAATCAACATTAACAATATAGATAAATAAGTACGTGCAGTAATTAATTTTTATTAAAATGTAATTTCGTAACAAGCAGAATTTTTTTCTTGTAATTTCTCGATTTGTTGTTCCTTCTTAGATCATAATTTTAATTATAATGTGAAGAAGGAAAAATTAATTTTTTTTAAATTAATCTTGAATAGCATTAAATATTGTTGCAACGTTTTTTTATGCAGTTTCTGATATGACTGAAAAGTATATTGCATTGTAATCATTTTGCGCGTCAATATCTACTAGAAAATGCTGCTTCTACATCTTTTCTTACGCTATCGTTTTTAACAATCCGCAAAGGCCAATAAGAAGTACTCGCGCAATGGCCAATTGACGCGGTAGGTCACGCTTATCATCGCGCGTGCAACGCTGCATGTTTTGCATGGATTTTTAAGTCGCAAACTTACCCTGCAGTTTTTATTCCCCCCGCAACTATTTATAAGCCGATCTATAGGCTGATCTCCTACGTCGATTCTACGCCTCGTAATAAAATTCCGAGAGCAAGTCGTGTCACTCGTAGATTGTTTTCCGCGAGGCATCGGATGTCGCGAAATTAATAATCGCGCGATTCGCGGGGAAGGGTGACACGGACGCATCCAGCGTCGCGCGCGCGCGCGCGTGACGTCTCAGCTGGTGCACAGGCTGGATGAATAAACGTCTTCCTTATCGTCTAAAATAAACTGCACGTATCTGGATCGTAGCCAGGATGTAGGAAAGTACAATGATATTCGTCGCGTAAATTGTTGCGTTCCTATGGAGAGTAGATTGGACATATTCGCTCGTCTAAATCTGTAACCGGCTTTATTTAACCAGTTAACCACACATATGCTTTAATGCTATTAATATATAATATATATGCATTGAAAAATTTGCGCTGGTGATGCATTTGGCCGTGATCTGTTCGATCGTGTTGTTACCACAGTCAGACGTACGTAATCAGAATTTTAATATATTATTCACATGTTTACGTGATCTAACATCGTGATATGCAATATATTTCATATTCAAAACGACAATGTCGATAATTTAAAATTTATTAGTGCTTAAAAAACCTTTACGTATATATTTTATGTTTATACATTAACATGAAAATATATGATGATAATAAAAATTAGAAAAAAATTTTCCAATAAGTACTTATCACTGATACATCACTCTAATTGAGTAAAAAGTATTTAAAATAACTGCAACTGTAAGCTGAACATAGATTTTGTTCACAATTCGTATTATAATATTGATAAAAATTAAAATGCAATACAAAAATATTTTTTTTTTATTTAACTAGACAACGCAAAGCGCGCGCCATTTATTCCCTTTCATTATACATTTCTCACTGTCACACAAGCTGTCAAAATTTGTAATAATCGCAAATGACAGCTGCTCACAACATGAATTGAGCGCAATAAAAGAACCAATCGCGCAAAAAGAAGCAACAATACTTCGAGACTTTCGAGAATCGATTTAACATGCACTTTTTAGAAAGGGATTTAAGTAAAAAAAGTGAAGTTTATATAAAATTAAAGTTAATAAACAATCTCTTCAGATGTTTCAGAATTATTAACTGTGTTCAACTGAAACATAGACTAAGAGTTTTATATTTTTATTTATTAATAATTCTTTTAGTCCACGATTCAATTGAAAATATCTAATATTTGTCAAATAATTGTTGCATTTGTGCATTGTATTTAAAACAATAAATTATCCATCTACAATATTTTTGGATATGTCAAAGGGATGAGAAATAAAAATGATTCCTTTTCACTGCACAATCTATTTCATTGAAATATCCATCTAAATATTAAAACATTCAAAAAATATATTTTATTCGAGAATATAGTATGTTTCGTGTACATTCAATCGAGATAAAACGAATGAGAGTTTGAAACGAAGTCCTTACACATCAAGTTAGCAACATAAAATGGCAATCATACGTCGCATAATTTGTTTCATGCATTGTCCTGGCAACGTGTTCGGTGTATTTCATTTGCGGACAAACCACCGAATTGTCCTTTGCAATAGTTTCACGAATTTTCGCTATCATGTTCCTCGCTATAATAACGATGCACAGCGGAGCTTTAATTAGTGGTCCATGTGCCTTTACAGTATCCCGCTCACATGACGGTCGACTCGCAGAAGCAAATCGAGATGCAGCGGCTGCAAACGGAACACTTGAAGCGACAGCAAGAGCACATTATGCAACATAACATCCAGGAGTTACAGGCTCAGATGACAAAGAATCAGCTGAGCATGTCGGGACCGCAGTCGTTGATGTTCCTGCCGTTTCTCGAACAACTCAGAGGGTTGCCTGTGCAGTCACCCATGCCTCCGCCGCCAGCAACGTCGACCGCCACCACCGGCAACAAGCACATCAATTCCATCGCCAATGTATGTGATCCGTCTGATTATCGCAATTTTCGACCAGTTCCGTATAAATATAATCGATGTTTTGCAAAATTTCAATATCACATTTCACTTTCATGACACTGGTCATTTTAAATGTATTTACTCGTTTTGGGGAAAAGATATCGAGAGAATTATTTAATTGACAAAATTTAAAGAGAGAATGATCTGATTTCCTCCAAAAATATCGCTCTTGATATTATTTCGATGAGTATAATGACGATTTGCTGAGCATTATCGGGATGTTTCGTTCACAGATGATTAGCAGTCATCGGGAAGGTCCGAGCTGGGCGACCGCGCATCTCGCGCAGATGACCACGCAAATGGAGAAGGAATCGCCGTCACCGGCGCCAACCTCGTCCGCTGTAGCGCCGACGGCCCCGCCACTTCAGGATCTCGACGCGCCGTTGAACCTTACCAAACCCAAGTCCACGTCCTCGGGCGCAACGGCATCCTCATCACCCGGCAGTGATTCGCACTCGACTGGTGCCGGAAGTAGCGGTCAGCAAGAACAGCCGTTGGCGGCGACCGCGCCAAAGCTCTTCCCGCCAGGACTACCGATACCGCGAAATTATCTGCCGACGCTTCCTTACGCCGGCCTACCGCCGCATCTCAGCACACTATCTTCGCCAAGTGAGTGAGACATTTATGATCGTTTGCTTTAACGTTGGTGAAATCATAAACTGAAATTATTTTCGCTCTCAAGCATACGATATCGTGCCAAAACATCACGGATGCTTCGTGAAATTGTTGCTATTTATAAGGATTAAGCATCCTGCGATGTTGTTACGCTATGCTTCGGAATTACATTTGATATTTTCCTCAAATTAAATGTTATCAGAACTCGCTGTTCTGCTAAGCCGGCTATGCAACGCGTTCATCTCGCGGAACAAATGTAAATTAGCGATTGCCGCAAATGGATTCCAGAGAAAAGCACAGTCCATACGCTCCGGAATAGCGATTTCATGCCGGTGATTATATTTAATCATCTTTAAATAGACCAGTTGATCTTCCTGCTAAAATTCTCTGTGGCTAGAATTTTTTCTCCTATTGTTTGTTTCGAAGAACCCATTTCACTTGTCATGGTTTTTGCGTGAATGCCAACGTGTCCATAATCAATGACGCATAACGCGATTCTTCCTAAGAAGACCGCAACAAGATTTGCACAAGCGAAGAAGGAAAAAAAATCATCGGGATTTTTAAATTATTATAACGTCGAGGACGAATCTCAATCTCTTAATCCATGATATTTACATGGGATGCTGAAAAACATGTGGTTTTTAGAATTGTATTTAGAAATATCAAAAAAGATTCTGGCAAATATAGTTCAAAAAACAATTTTTAAATTATATATAATTGAAAATAATGAAACTTTAACTTTCTTGAAATTGAACTTAAAAAATTTAATTAGCATTTTTAATTGATATTTAGCATTGAAATTTAATAGGATATTTAAAAAAAAAGCGTCAAATAAAATTATCACTAAACCAAGATCGATCTTAAATGGAACATACAAAATTCGAGTATCATGTATGTGTTTTTCAACATCTTGCACAACTCAATTAGATTGTAATTTCTCCTATCTTTTCTCCGTCGCGCGTTTTTTACGCCGTTTCTTCGTGATTCGTTACAGTGGGCAAAGTAATGGCCAAAGATGAGGCCGGCGGAGGTGGTGGATCCGCTGCAGCCGCTGCAGTCGCTGCTGTAGAAAAGCATTTCGCGATGCATGGGCTGTACGGATTACCACCGAATGCAGGTGCGATGCCACCATCGACCCAATCTCAAAGACCGATCAAACATTCTAGTTCCCGAGAAGAAACGCCTCAGGAGGAACAGGACTATCTTTCGACGCCTCACAGTAAGCGAATATTGGAATGAAGGAGCGCGTTAGTCGAAACGAATGTGCACTATAAAAAAGAAGATTGTTTAATATATATAATATTAATATATATATCGACTTTTACTTATATTAATTTTCTTTGACAAGTATGTATAAGTTTATTTTATTTTGTTAGGGGATCAATGTGATTCTAAATAGAATCTATATAGATTAAATTAAAATTTGATGAGATTAAATGCATGCATATAATATATAACAATTTTACTTAAACTTGTAAGAGAATTTCTATTGTTTCGATATGGAAAAAGATTATATTGAATTTGATATTATATTGAATAGTGCTTTCTATAACGATTCTATGCTAATATTATAAAGCATGTATATAATTGCTCTTACCTCGTGTATATGATTCTGTTTCGAAATTGCAGTGTGGCGAGATCCGGCATATAAAGTAGCGGAAGACATAACGGAAAAAGGTAAGCAGTTCTATGAGCAATGATTAGGCTAATATTACGATCTTGTTTTTGAGAGCGCCAAGTGACGCCCTCACGAAATCAGATTCGTTTCTCACGATAGTATCGTGAATCACGACGACGGCGTGACATCTAACGCCTCTGTCTTTCTCTTTCTTTCTTCAGCTAAAATGGTGAGGCAGCAGAAAAGGGAGAATGAGAATAAGCCACATATCAAGCGACCGATGAATGCATTCATGGTATGGGCTAAGGATGAACGTAGAAAGATTTTGAAAGCCTGTCCAGATATGCATAATTCGAACATATCAAAAATTCTCGGTAAGCACCTAATCCATATCGCCTTTTTCACATCCGATTATAATCGGTTCATCCTATCTAGTAAATTTATTCCAATTTCGATTATTATTTGTACATAAAATTTCATGTAAAAAAATATGTACTTAACTCAATAATATTACACATTTGTAATCAAGAATATAGTGAAAAATAACAATAAAAATCACGAAAGAACGCAAAATTATTTTCTTCATCGTCGGTTATAGGTGCCCGATGGAAGGCGATGTCAAACTCGGAGAAGCAGCCGTATTACGAAGAACAATCACGGCTGTCGAAGCTACACATGGAGAAGCACCCTGACTATAGGTATCGGCCGCGACCCAAGCGTACGTGCATCGTGGACGGCAAGAAAATGCGCATCTCCGAGTACAAGTCGCTGATGCGACAGCGGCGGCAGGAGATGCGACAGCTGTGGTGCCGCGACGGCAGTAGTGAGATGACCTTTTTGTCACCGGTCAGCGCCGATTTGAGCAGTGGCACGCAGCATCATCCAGGAGCGAGTGCCGGTCCGTCGGCGCGACCGTCGGTTTCACCGCCGGCGACGATGCTCAATGGCAGTGGTGGTGCTGGCCCGAGCTCGGATCATCCCTCGTTCTACTATCCACAAGACAGCCTCTCGCCGACGGACATGATGAATTTCTCACCCGAGAATTCCGGCTCGATCGGCGGCTACGACGCGAGTCCGCGGCATCACGACGAGGATTGAACCGTGGCTCCGGGTCAGCCACTTTGGCCGCCCGGAGCATCATCGTCATCATCGTCGGCAGCAGCTGTAGCGGCAGCAGCCGCAGCGGCCGCAGCAGCGGCGTCCACGTCGAGACTCGCCCATGAGCTCTTCTGGTAAGAGGAATCGTCTGACTCGGTGTATCTTGAGTCATAAAACGTCGCGAGTCAATGTGCTCGAAACCGCGCTTTTACGCGAGCTGGAAGAGAATGCTATTACAAAAGAAAAGTTGGGTGTCTTGAAACCTCATTGGAGGTTGTGATATATAATCTCTATCTCTGTGCCATCGTACACGAAACGCGAGGGACCTATTTCGCGAAGCAAAGGCGCGAGAGCGTGTTCACCTGATTGAATCCGTCGTCGTGACGTCGCTCGATCGTCGGTCGTTCTTGTTCTTCGGTACATTTATCGAAAGGATAGTCACAAATCACATCAGTACAATCCTTCAGTCAATTAGTTCGTTTGATTTATGTGAAAAAATGTTTATCCGAATATCTCAATAGCAATGTATTGTGCGATTAATATAAATCAATAGGCAATAGAACACATTCAGATTCGCATCAAATTATTTTGGCAGATAACATTATCTGGTTTCGGAAAGAAAAAGAGAGAGATTTCAATTAAATTGTCTTTTATACAGGGTGATTCAAGATAAACCTATTGTTCTTGAAATGACACATTCTTGAGTCAATTCTAAGATGATTTTTCCTTTGACAAAGTATTGTCCGAAGCTTAGTTTTTGAATTATTAAGAGAAGTAGTTAACTTATTATCGGATCGGATACAAGAGGCAGGTAAGAGCTACGCGATTCACCATCAGACGCGGGTGCTTACGCTCCGCTTGTTTCGATCAGCTGGTCGCTATATACGATATACAGACACATACACACATGTAATTACATACATTCTTATTCTTTCTCTCTCTTTCCCTCTCTCTGTCTCTCTTATTTACTCACTCACTTGTAGTCATTATTACTTATACTGATTATTACTACTTTTTTTAACTTTACTAATTATTATATCTTTCTTTTACGAGAGAGGAAAAAATGCATTTTATGCATATCTATCGTCTGACTCAGTGAGTTATGTTGGGATTCGAGTATCAAGTCGAATTATTAACTCGGTATCCACTAAAAACCCCTCTCTTTTTGTGAATTTTTTCTGACACTGTCTATTTAACATCTTGAAATCTGTTTTCACACAAACAGATCTCGAGATGTTAAATAGATAGTGTCAAAGAAAATCACGAAAAAGACGGTTTTTAGTGTGTAGAGAGTACCGAGTTGGTAATTCGACTTGATATTCGAGTCACCGGGTCAGCCGATGGATATGCATTTGGATAAAATGCATTTTCCTCTCTTTCGTTAAAAAAATATATAATAACTAGTCAAATTAAAAAAGTAGTAATAAATAGTAAAAGTAATGATGACTACAAGTAAGTGAGCAAATGAGAGAAAGAGAGAGAGTGAGAGAGAATAAGAATGTATGTAATCATATGTGTATGTGTCTGTATATCGTATGTAGCGATCAGCTGATCGCAGCAGGTGCCCCGCGTAAGTACGCGTCTGACGATGAATCAGGCCGCCCTTGTCTGTCTCTTGTATCCGACCCGTAATAAGTTAACTACTTTTCTTAATAATTCAAAAACTAACCTTCGGACGAAATTTTGTCAAAGGAAAAATCGTCTTAGAATTGATTCAAAAATGTGTCATTTCAAGGACAATAGATTATTTCGAATCACTCTCTGTATATATCAGCTACAACCAGAATCTTGCACTTGTATTATTTCGCATCACAATTTTCGCAGTTTTTCTATGGCTGCGCAATACAACGCTATTTCAAGACAATTGTAGGTGTGTCCGTTTACAGAGGCAATTTTCTCGGCGGCCGCGATCCATAAAACTTCCTTGTGCACAAACATATTTTCGTTATTCAGACATTTTTAAGAGAATGAGATACTTTTCCAAATATATTTTAAAATCTGCTCAGTTTAAACTGAAACAGTATAAGAGATATTTAAAGAACGTCGTAAAGCCAGCTGTCTGATAAATATTTCAATCTATCTAATCATGAACATGAAACGTTTTTTTTTGGTAACGTCTTTCTTTCGAGAAACGACGAAGAATGGCGTTTTATACGCACGTCGGCGGTATTCTTTGCATTCTATTGTATATCTTATAATCAAAACTGCAGTTTTCACGAAATTCGATATCATCGGTAGCTAACGTGTAGAGGTACAATTAACCGGCGTTGAACTAACAGCCAAAATACACTCGTTGCACATTCAATATACATACGCAAAGTGAGACGAAATGCGGAGGTATGCGCGCATTCGCATAATTTTTATAAAACAATCGCGTGTCGCTTTGGCGTGTCGATTCGGATCCGCAAATTTATGCCGATCTCCTTATGAGGACTTGAATACGTAACAAATATATCACATACGCGTTGTGACACGATGCATGGCCAAAAAGTCTTGTTCCTATTCCTTCTAGTGTGTGTGTGTGTGTCTATGATACGCCATTCCGATCGGTCGTATCGAGAAAAACAAAAAAAAAAGATGAATGAATAAAAAAACTGGTCTTTTAAAAAAAAAAGTTACAGCATCTCTCGCAACGATCGTGCGTGACCACAAACACGTAAACCCACACGTGGCAATCTTATCTTGCGACCGCCCCAGTCAGAGTTGTCTATAATGTGTACCATCGTATATAAAACGACCACGTTCGATGCGCTGAACGATAGGTCGGAACAGAGTGAGAAAAAGTTAGAGAATAATCGCTCGCGCGATTAAATCCCGGTGCGTAGAGGTGTAATGGTTTCGCTTAATATAAATGCGTAGTACTTATAGTATTTTCATCATTAATTTATTGACCCTATATATAGAAATGGCGATAACTAAGGGAGGTAATAATTGACTGAGCATAGCGAGAAGGGAAAGTGCAACAAGAGGTGACATAAGATAGACATGAGAAGCGCGAAATGTCGATATATTAGTACAACGTTATGATAAAAGGAACGGAAGAGAGATTAGTGTTATTTATCGAAAAATTAGCATGCATTCAGCGATCGAATCGTGGCGTGCGACACGTTGCATCTATTTCGGGGTGCGATGCAATGGTGCATTACATACGCGTATTATGTTTCTTCGGTGTCGAATTATATTGCGAATGTAGAAAGGATCAGAGGAGGAGAGAGGAGAGATTAGTAGATTAGGAACCCAGGGGATGGGGTCGATGGAAAGATAATTACGGTATCGTATAAACCTGCTAAAAGCGAACACGGTTGTAACGGTAGTCTGTGAGGCGATTGAACAGGGCGATGTATAATGATTTGGAGCTCGATGTGATAATATTTATGTGCCAAATAGCGTTTTCGCGGATGGGGGTTAATCGAATAGGAGCCCCTAATCCCGTGTCGCCTCGTTGGCTAGACGTGAAAAGCGAATTTTTGCGTCTCTCTTTTTTTCACGTTTTTTTTTTCTTTTGTTATTTATAATCAGTGCAATTACATACACACAGTACCTAATATAATTTTATAAAGAGAGCCAGTATCCTCGATATATCTGCACCCGTTTCGTTGGGGCTCGACCGGCGTCAGATTAGGATTTAGCTTAATGTTGATAATAATTTATTTTATGTATATAATGGATTTGTACACACACACAAATGTGTCGGGAGATAATCATTGATCACGTGATCCGACATGAGCGTCAATATTATTAATGTACAGTGTAACTATATTGTGATGTATCTACGTAGATATATATGTAATTATTCGAAGTATGTAGATTAATAATGTTAAACAGTACGTATTCTTATTTTCATTGTCATTATCTTGATTATTATTATTATCGATGACACTCATTATATCATTATCATTATTATTATAAATATTACAGTTATTAATATCATCGTTGCTTATTTAGTACTATTATTTAAGTAATGGCCTTATTATTTTTAGTAGCAAAAAAGGTTGTACGTGCCAGTTTAAACAATAACGGCAAATAAAAGTTCGTTGTTCGTTAATGCTCGAATACTCAATCAAATATTTTAATATGTCATATTTCTATATATTACACATTTTCTTTCTCTGAGCTATTTTTTGCATCTGTGATTTCGAAATATCGCAAGAATTTCAACTTATATCACATTCGTAAATTATATGAAGTTTATTTGAAGTTTAATATTTTGAAATGTGGTTTTAAAAGCATTCTTTTTTGTCGCAAATTAAATTTTCAAAGATAAGCTTGATATATAAAAGAAAAAAAATTTCTTTTAATTATTTTACTATTTATATGCTATTATAGCAATTTTTTATTCATAACAAAGATAGTAAATATTTCGGGTGAAAGAGGTCTGCCTATCTTGCATTTTTTCCCAATTGTGCCATATCTTTTCATTATCGTGAGCATTAAAAAATTTGTTTTAATGTTTGAAAAATTTTATATAAAATATTTGAGCTATATATATATATATATATATTTAAAATGGCAAAATTACGCGTATAACAAAGCCCAGCCCGTATTTTTTTTTTCAAAATCGTTTTATTTTTCACATGTTTGGTTTAATAAAAATCGGTTCTGCATTCCATCGATTGCGATTTTTATTTATCTGATCATTTAAATTAACAGCGTTAATTATAACATATTTAGTTCGTAGCAATCGTCTTAATTTTGGATATCACGATACGCAATAATCTCAATACACGATTATTATATTTACTGGCCTTTATATGCAACCAATGCGAATGCAAACTGTAAGAATAGTAAATTGTAAATCGAATTACACACTACTAATATTATAGTATATTTAACGTAAAGAAAAAAAGTGAACATTAACACCCGCTCTCAATATTCCAAGCATTCACTTCATTTACATGTACGTTGTTGTTAATGATATAAAAAAATATAATAAAATAACGCTTTACCGAAATTCAATCTTAGTTTTAGGAGTATACTATTTCTAGCTGAAACTTGTATGTATGAAGAATGTATATATAGTTATGCAATACAAGTGCATATGGTGGAAGGGAGATATAGTGAGCAAGAGAGAGAGAAAGAGAATGAATGATAAAGATATACAAAGTCAGATGCATGTGTGAATGAAATAAAATGCTCACGATCATCTTAATACTACTCGTGTCGTGATTATAGTGTACTATTGGTATCAATAGCGTAAAATCAAAATAAATATTTAGGATGGTGGGTAAATCGCTACTGATAATAACTACTTTAAATTTTATTTATTGATACATACTCGTAATGGAATAGTCTGTTTTCATCGCGGTAGTGTTAAGATGAACGTACAAAGCATACGGTAGAACAAAGGAAAAGTCATACTTTGGAACACACACAGCAGTGTATAATTGTCTACAAATAGAGTACTTTGCACCGAAGAAAATATTTGTATGGAGACTTTTTTTTTTATTGAATACAATTGAAGATTTTAATAGAATATTTCTTATCAAGAACGTACCACAAGTTGGCTGTGAGTCACAGAACTAACTTTCCTTCCATATTTCATTTTTTAAAAGCATATTATTGCTTAAGTAAAAAATATATGAATAAATATTAATAAATTGCAATTATTCATTTATGTTAATGTCACCCAAGATGACTTTTCCTCATAGATAGAAACATCAAACGCACTGTATCACAATAGAGAGCAGTACACTATTATAAAAATATATAAATATATGATTATATTTATTATAATAATTTGAAAGCTAGGTACTCTTTGTTGTTTGTATTTTACAAGCGTAATCATTATTATATATAAATAAATATAAACTATATAAATGAATAAATGAAGGAGTCTCATTTTTATATGCACACATCTTATAAAAAAAGGAAAAGATATTAAAAAAGTAATGGTTTTTTTATTTAATGATATCGTAAATATATCGTTAGTAAGAACAAAGTTTCATCTATTTGTAGCTCTGTTACATTCAGTTTTTTAATCGCATTTTGCGCCTTCTCAAGCTGCTGAGTTTCAGATGGTGTCATCATTTCTGCAATCTGTAAAGAAAAAACATTTTATTTAATCATTATTAATTTATAATTTTCTTTTTATTTCTATAATATAAATATATATCGATATTACATCAGCCAATTGTTGTTCTGTAGCGCCATGTTCTTTCATATTGGAAGAAAGTATCTGTACTCTTAATTGTTTTTCTATCATGCGCTTATTATTACTTAATTCATGGTCTCGCCTTTTTATAATATTATACAATGCTTGACAACAATGTTCAATTTCCATTTGAACAATTTTAGTCAGATCAATGTAAAAATGGAAAGGTCCTTTTGTTGGTGCTGCTAAAGTTCCAGCTTTTTTTATCTCTTGCATCTGTATGAAATTTTCTTGTGCCAAAATATATGTTAAGCATTTAGCTTCTTTTGCTGGAATCATTGCCAACTGTTGAATCTGATCTAGGTTAACATTTTTTTCAATACGCACTAATCTAAAAAATGGAAAAAAAAAAAGTAATTATATAAAAGTATATATATTTTGCTCTTTTTTATGATGAAGTAAAACTTTGAATATTAGATCTTTATTTTTACCTGAAAATTCTTGCAGCCTTGGAACCAAATCTTTCAGCTACAATACTTTCTATCGTTGCCCATACTAATTGTTTAAATGCATTTTTCATGTTAACACTATATTGCCCTCCACCAGAATCACCAACTCGTTTAATAAATTGACTACTGTCTTCTTCTATAAGTCTTAGATACTGATCAAGATATTGTTCAAGCTCTAAAAAAGTCAATTTTTTCACTTCCTCTTTTATTTCAGTATATGGAATTGGATTCGATGTAGCTGTCCATGGTGCGGTACGCAAATACATCAAATTAATCAATTGTCTCATTAATTCTCCAGCATTTATGTCAAATCTCTGAGTCATGGCTGATACCATAATTTTATCCCTAATATAAATTATAAATAAGTTATTGACATTTTCAATAATAATTGAGACTTAGAGGCAATCTTACCTGAAATCTTGTGTAAATCTGTCAAAATTGACCTTCCAATATAATTTATTATCTCCAGGATCAGCATTTTGTCCTTGTAATATATTAGAAATGGCTGTCATATTAAGATGTGGTAAATTGTATTCAGGTTTTTCAATATTTTCTTTCATTGTATTAAAGGATATACTATGCATTAAAAATTGGTTTTTTACTAATAACTCGAATGTATTTTTTAAATTTGCAACGGAAAGTTGTTCAGCACCTGAAAATATATTTAGATTGTTAATACAATACACAATACAAGTCTAGATTGTTAATACAGATTCTGTTTATAAATATTATCATATTATAAAACTAAGAAAATAATTTGAAAATAAAAAGTTATAAGAAAAATAATTATATTGTAAGAAAAAAAATTATATTGTACATATTTACTTTATTTAAATTATACATACATTTAGAAGGAGTTTCCTCAAGTCGTTTGTATGTTTTTATTATGACTTCAGAAGCTGTGATATATCCATGTTTTAATACTTCTTCTAACATAATTTCACCTTCATCTCTGCAGTAAGTTTTTGCAAATAGCATATACCTGTAATATATATAAATGTTTTTCATAAATAATGTATATTTTGAATATTAAACAAATCGTATTTATAAAGGAGATAAAAATTTATTCAACTTGATAAATACCTTGGATAACGTAGAAGCATAATAATTTTCTCACAATGTAGGACATAGTGAACACTACCTTTTTCATCTTGTTGATAAGTGACAAAACCATATTTTATAAGGACACATAGTCCTTCTTTTACCTAAATATAATAAAATTATTTTTTGATAAATACAAAATATTAATAAATATAAAAAAGATAATTTAAGATAATATAATTTTATATAGCAATAATTTCATCAAATCAGTATATAATATTTCATAAAAGTTTACTGTACCTTAATTAACGGTAAATTTGTATGAAGTCGTATAACATCTAATGTTTTTCTGCTATGTAATAAACTGTTCCCTATACACTGTACAATATTTCCAAAGTATTCTTCTAATAATAACATACATAACTTGCTTTGAAAATCCTTCATCTTTATAATAATTTAAACAAGCTTCTCGTATACTCACAAACACCTATAAACAAGAAATAAATACACATATTACATATTGCTTTAGGTATATTCCAGTATATTGTATTTAGCATTAAATAAATTATGATAAGTCAATTAAAAAAAAGGGAGATAAAGAGATTAAGAATTATAACAATACATATTTCATTTTCAAAATTCCTACCTAACCTATTCTTATATATTATCCGTCTCTCAATTGAAAAGAACGCTCATGCTCGTAAAAATGTAGCAATCTTAATTTTAGTTTTATCCGTTTTGTTTAAATTTTCTCAAATTTTTTGCTCTTTTCTTCTTCAATTTTTTGTTGTCAACAAGAAGGGAATAGTTTTCTGCTCACGCTGTTATGACTCAGATTAAACAAAGAGCTCAATATGACGGGTGCACATGTGTGCACTGATTTTAACAGTACTGGCACAAACAATGTAGGAGCACGTGATCTTTTGGATTCCTGTACTCAGAACGCGGCAATTCGTTAGCGAATCGTGTGACAAAAGGCAACGCGATAGCCAATCGATTTATATCTAGTCTGTAAGAGCCAAAGATTGATTGGCGTACATCTCACATATTTTAGACTGCTTCGAGTGTGTTCGAAAATCCTACTTATGGTCCCGGGAGGAGCAAGGTGGGGAGAATGGAGTATAAAGTAGCATTTAATTGACCAATCGGAACAAAAGGAGCAAAGATTCTGTGTCTTGATTGGTTAGTTAAATACTACTTTATCCTAATGGCCATTTCCACAAATATAGATTAATTTTGATTTCGATTAAACTTACTTTTCGTTCTTTTTAATTTTTAGAATTAAAAAACATGAAAAATAAATTAAACTAAGACTCAAAATTAATCTACATTAGTGAAAGTGGGCAGAGTAAAGACTTGCTTAAGAGGTCCGTAACTGTTAACTTATGCCAGAACCGGTAAATTTCAATTCTGAGATGAATTTAAAATTTATTATAAACGAGAGCATTGAAATCCCAATATTGAACTTTACCGGTTCGAACATAAATTAAAAGTTACGAGCCTTTATAAACGAGCCTTAAAATTTCTAAGTGTTTCTTGCAAGGAAATAATTTTCAAACATGTTTATATATACAATAGTACATAGGAGGATATTTGATAAAAGATGTCGAGTGTAGGATGTCGAGTGTAGGATATTCGAATAGATGGAAGAAAAATTGAAAAAAAATGATGACCATTTGAAATCTGCGGTACCGTGTAAGCAGCACTTCCGGCGGAACAGCATTGTCGCAGATGATCACGTGATCGAAGATCGACTTCTTCGTTTGTGGCCACGAGGTTTTGTGGTGAAAATTAAGTTTACCGGGTGGAAAAAGCCCCCTATTTTTGTAGTTATACAAAAATGCCCTCCAGCAACCCATTGCCACCAAAAGAAAATGCCTTGTTTAAGCGAATTCTGGTGAGTAACGGCCGATGAAAATATTCTGTTTTGGACCCCACTCTCCGGCTAATAGGGTGCACTCTCATCATGCTCTAATGATAAAGCACTCTTCGGGAAAAACGGGAAAAACTCACTGGCGATCGCGAAACGCGGCGCCGTGCTTGACGTTACGAATGAAAAGTCGTTTCGCTCGGCGACAACCCGCGACGATCGGTGCACCGATTTTGCACGAAATACAAAATAAAACTCTTCAAATATCCCTTTTAACCCTGCGTTATATATTTTCACACCACGCATATTTCTTACAGAGATGCTATGAACACAAGCAATACAAAAATGGGTTGAAGTTTGCAAAGCAAATCCTGTCAAATCCCAAGTTCAGCGAACATGGAGAGACCTTGGCGATGAAAGGTCTCACTCTGAACTGCTTAGGCCGCAAAGATGAAGCTTATGATCATGTACGTCGAGGCCTCAGAAATGACCTACAGTCCCATGTTTGCTGGCATGTCTATGGTCTCCTACAGCGCTCTGACAAGAAGTACGATGAGGCTATTAAATGTTATAGAAATGCACTCAAATGGGATAAGGACAATATTCAAATTCTTAGGGATCTATCGTTGCTTCAAATTCAAATGCGGGATCTGGAGGGCTATAAAGTAAGAAACTTCAAAGAACATATTATTTTGTTTATTATTTTATAGTACACTGTATGTAGTACAATTGTATGTTTTAATCGATTCTTTTTCTTGCTTCTAGGATACTAGATACCAGTTGTTCATGTTACGTCCTACTCAACGAGCCTCTTGGATTGGTTTTGCTATTTCATATCATTTGTTGAAAGATTATGAGATGGCATTGAAAATTTTAGACACTTTTCGAAATTCTCCAATGGTATGTATAATATATATAATATATATAATATGTAACAATTTTTATATAAATTTAATGACTAATTTTATGCAGTAAAGAAAATATAATAAAAATTTGTGCAGATTTGTTATGATTATGAACACAGTGAATTGTTATTGTATCAAAATATGGTCATCCAAGAATCAGGAGAATGTGAACAAGCGTTAAAACATTTAGACAAGTATAGTGATCAAATTTGTGACAAGGTCACTGTAAAAGAGACTTATGGTATATTGCAATATGATTTTTTATAAAATTTTCTTAATATTTATTATCTATAAACAAATTTTCTGTAATTTTTTCCTTGTTTTTCAGGTAAACTAAGACTTCAATTAAAGCAGTATGCAGAAGCAGAACAAGTATACAAGGAGTTATTAGATATTAACCCCGAAAACACAACATATTATACTAGGCTAGCAGAGGCTGAAAGACATACCTCACCAAGAGACACATTGCATATGCTCCAAAGATATGAAGAGCTCTTCCCTCGAGCGTTAGCACCGCGCCGTTTACAACTCAATTATGCAATAGGAGATGAATTTAAAGTTTTAGTTGATCGATATTTACGGAAAGGTAATTTTCTTTTTATATAAAGCTATATAACTTTTGTAACTTACATGATGTATATTTAATTAATTTTATTTAATTAAATTTATTTATTTTTTCTGCAGGGCTTCATAAAGGTGTGCCACCGTTATTTGTGAACCTTCGTTTATTATATACTGATAAAGAAAAGGTCGAAATCATATCATCTTTACTTATACAATATAAAGAGGCGTTAAAACTTCACGGCCATTTTAGTGATCAAGAAAAAGATAACCCAAGAGAACCAGCATCTGCTTTATTGTGGACATACTATTATCTAGCGCAACATTATGATTATCTCGGTGATACAGAAAAGGCATTAATTGAAATTGACGCTGCCATTGATCATACTCCTACACTTATAGAACTTTTTGTTACCAAAGGACGCATTTATAAAGTAAGATTTTATATACTTGATTACATATTTTAATTGTAAGAAATAATATAGGAAATGTATAATCTACAAAAATGTTTGTTGATAGCATGCAGGAAATGTTCAAGAAGCTTACAAGTGGCTTGATGAGGCGCAAGGGTTAGATACAGCAGATCGATATATTAACTCTAAATGTGCCAAGTACATGCTTCGTGCGAATCTTATTAAAGAAGCGGAAGAGACTTGCGGAAAATTCACGAGAGAAGGCGTTTTAGCTATGGAAAACTTAAATGAGATGCAGTGCATGTGGATTCAAACGGAAGCAGCAAATGCATACAAACGCCTTGGAAAATATGGAGAGGCATTAAAGAAATGTCATGAAGTTGATAGGGTAAGTTGTATAATATACAGGGTCTACCAAAAGTGTGGAAACCCCTAAATATCTCGGAAAATATACGTTTTACAGAAAAGTGTTTCCAACAAAAGTTGTAGGGTTTAAGAAGATCTATATACTGATTCTATCAGTTTGACCTTGGATGGCGTCGTCAAGGTCAGGTCAAGGTCACATTGACTTTTTTAAATGACACCCCCTACATTTGATTGCATATTCTTATAGCTTAATTCAAGAGCTTTCCAAAACACTATAATAATGTTCATTTTTATTAAGTACTTTGCGAGTTATGAGGGTTGAATGATAGAGTAGCGCCGGTATTAACATTATCCAAGGTGTACTACATGGAGGTTACTCGCTCGGATTTGCATCTGTTGTGTGTGTGATCCAGCTAACTAAGGCAAGATCGGTCGTGGATCCAGTCAGCAAAAGCAAAGACCCAACCAAATTACAATCGAGCATTTAAAGACCTGGAAAGCAATCGACATAGTAAACAGTAAATAAATTTGTGGATGCTCATTTATCATAATAATTGTTCGAAATGTGTGCGTGTGCGTGCGTGCGGTGCGTGTATACAGAGATCAGGTTAGGTTGCACCAAACGATTGCAAATGTGTTTCAATGTGTTAAAGTAAATGCTGAAAGTGGCTGCCATTTACTTCCTGACAATATGCTAATCTTTGGTAGAATGTAGAAATGACTTTACGATTCGTTTCAAAAGGTATCAAAGCCATTTCATCCCTTATTCGCTGTATCAATTCGTGAATGGTTTTAGGTTTTGTTCTGTAAACCTTACTCTTCAGATATCCCCATAGATAATAATCAAGAGGAGTTAGATCTGGTGACCGAGGTGGCCAATCCTCTCCTCCCTCATTTCCGTTCCTTCTTCCTATCCACCGTAGCGGAAAAGTCTCATTTAAAATACGACGTGGTCCTGCACCAAAATGAGCAGGAGCTCCATCATGCTGAAACCATATTACTTGGAAATTGTTTCATACACGTTTTATGGAGCAATTTTTTGGCAATTTGACTTCAGCGAAATATAAGGATATATTGAGGAATCGATCTTGCCTTAGTTAGCTGGATCACACACACAACAGATGCAAATCCGAGCGAGTAACCTCCATGTAGTACACCTTGGATAATGTTAATACCGGCGCTACTCTATCATTCAACCCTCATAACTCGCAAAGTACTTAATAAAAATGAACATTATTATAGTGTTTTGGAAAGCTCTTGAATTAAGCTATAAGAATATGCAATCAAATGTAGGGGGTGTCATTTAAAAAAGTCAATGTGACCTTGGCCTGACCTTGACGACGCCATCCAAGGTCAAACTGATAGAATCAGTATATAGATCTTCTTAAACCCTACAACTTTTGTTGGAAACACTTTTCTGTAAAACGTATATTTTCCGAGATATTTAGGGGTTTCCACACTTTTGGTAGACCCTGTATATTTGAGATTTACATACATCATATATACGTTATTACGATATTGCTATTATTTGCAGCATTTTTCGGAAATCATAGAGGACCAATTCGACTTTCATACATATTGTATGCGGAAGATGACGTTACGATCTTATGTGGGTCTACTGAGGCTAGAGGATGTTCTTCGAGCTCATCCCTTTTACTTTAAAGCAGCGAAATGTGCAATGGAAGTTTATCTACGACTTCATGATTACCCTTTGCCAGATCCAGCACAGACACAAGAAATCGACACTGGTGAGTTTTATTATTTATTAATATTAAGTATCTTTTTTTATTTTAAGCATTATAATTTTGCTTCTTTGCTTACCATTAATAAATTAAATTTATAAATTAAATATCAGAGAGATATATATCTTTTAATTATAGTATTAACATTAGAAGAGTTGAAATTATATTTATATCGCTATATCACTTTTTGAATGGTCGACATATTTTATATAAACATTCAATCAAAATTATAAGAATTAATATTTGTGCTATATAAGACCACTCAATACTATATAAGAGCACGCATTAATTTTATAGAAAGTACAAAAATATATTGCTGATATATTTGCAGCTTTTAATATTTATAATAATAAAAATCGTATACATGTAAAGTTTTTTTAATATTGTAATTGAATGTTGTAATTGAATATTGTGATTTTTATTGGCATAATTTATTATTGGTACAATAATTTTCAAAAATATCTTAAATGATACTTAAAGTTTCAAATAATATTAATATGATATAATTTATAGAACATATTAATATATTTTTTCGGGATTATATATATTAATCCATAAAAAATTCTTTAAGATTCTCAATTTTTTTTTGCATCGAATAGAGAGAAATTCGCGTCAATATTTTTTATTTTATATATCTATTTTATTTATTTTTATTCTATTTTATTTATTTTTATTTGAGAACAAAAAAATTCGGAAAAAAAAATTCGCAAAACAGCGCTATTATCTGTATATATATATATATATATATATATATATATATATATATATATATATATATATATATATATATATAATAGCGCCATTATTATAAAGTGCATGCATTAGACGATTGACTAATATAGATATATGTACATGTAATATTTCACCTCTATTTCATCATTAATCACAGACAGTGTGAAAATACGCGAAGATGCGCATAACACAATTAGCATACGCAAATGCGATCACATACCTATATTGTTCTAGGGCGGGAGAATCGGGTTACAATAATAAATTAAGCATTTTTCGTAAAACAGCGTAACTATAATTATCTAACTTAGTCACAATTCGTATTTACAGATATAATAAATATGTTAATACACGTGCGATGATAACATCGCATTGGACATCCGCGAGATTATGGCATCAATGCGATTGCCGTTGAAAACGCACGAAGAAATGCGCACTCAGACGTTAGCTTGGCGCCGTCTTCGTTTCAATAATCTCCGTCCTCTTGGCTTTGGATATACGTATCCATTGTTTTGATCTTGCCGTTGCGTGATCGCCCGCGGTGTCAGGAAGTAAAAGTGACCAACATCGCCGGGTAATCGGTACGCGAAGTACGTGTTCGGATCGTCCGAATGATTGTCCTGCAGCGAAACAGGATCGATGAATTCAGCATCGGGATTTATAGGCGGGCGTGGATTCCTATAGTTGACCTCTATGTCGTCCAGCAACGACACGGGCTCCTGAATGTCTTCTAACTCCTCCCGGGACTCGGAGAGAGGCACAAAATTGTTGGTATTTCCATTGGTCGGCTGTATTGTATTTTGCACTCTGTAACGAGAGGTCGGTCCGTGCTGTTGCCCTCCTTGATTTTGCAATCGGTAGTTATCCGTTTGCAATTCGTAGTTCGCTAACGGCGACGACTGTTTCGGTTGATGTTTAGGCTCGATTATCTCAATAAACTCACTGTCCGAATTTATCGGTGGCAAGGGCCTTCGATAATTCACGAGGATATCGTCTTTGAGAGAGTAAGGTCGCTGCGACTGATCTCCATAGTGAACTTTGACATTGGGCGCTTTATAAGTCACTGGTCGATCAGTCTTATAAACGTTTGACACATAAGCGTTGTGGCCTGGTTTCTCCGTGATACTGCTCGACTTTCCATAGATCGGAGTCGTATTCGGTACTTCGGCCGATAATTTCTTGCCAAAGATCGTAAAATATTCTTTCGTAACATCATCCAACAATTTCTCGTCCTGCGACGTAAAATACGCGTGTTGCGGATTGGACGTCGTGTCTACGATCGGATAAGCGGTACTCGTAGAATAGACTGGATGTTGTATTTTATATGGTATGCGTTTCTGCTGTGGTCGTGATGGCAAATCAATATTTTCGTAATCATACTCTTGATTCGACTTGATGTTCTGATACTTGTTGTATGCGTTCTGTTCTTCTCTACTATGGTACGGTGCTCTCTGATTGCCACCGCGTTTCGAATAATCCGCCACTTGGAAACTATATTGATAGATGGGCTTAGACTTCATGCTTTGACGATAATACGTTTGAGGCTTCGGAGTCGTGTAGTACGTTTGCAGCGGACGTGCAGATACGGGTTGATAATATACAGGCGCTTCGTCGGCTAACATATGTTGGCTCTGATCCCGCGGCGAGTTGGCATCGAATTTCGAAGACGTGACTTCTGAACTGTCAGTATATTGGAACGTGTGCGAATTCTTCACGATGTTACCGATGAGTTTCGTTTTGTAATCTTTCGGGGTCTCGTCCGCCGTGATCGCCTCAACGGTGTAATAATGCTTCTTTTGCTCAGTCTGTCGAGGTCGTGACGTCTCCGTGTCATAGTATGGCGATTTTATAGTAGTAGTCTCGTAATAAATAGGCGATGATCTTGCAGAATTTTCGTCAGATTCCTCGTAGAAATAATAGGACGCATGATTACGAGATCGACCGGGTTGACTAGTAGTGATAATGCTCTTTATAGAAGCCGGAGTCACTTCCACTGGTCGATCCAATTTTAGTGACGACTGCGTGGTCGAAGGATAATACGCGAGAACCGGCACTGTCTTGCTGGTTACTAAAGTGGACCAATCTTTCTGCTGGGTCGTCGCTTCAGATACTTGATTTCCGTTTACAGAATTGATGGTGTATATCTCGGTGTTTTCGAGAGTGTGCGGCTTCCCAGCTCCTGTTGTAACTTTTGCATTAGATGTGGTTTTTTGTTTAGGTGTAAAAGTGTCCGATACATTCCTATTCTTTACACGACCGAAAGACACCTTTGTGGTTATCGATGAAGAAGAAGTTGTCTTGGTTATCGAGGTTGGTAATATGGACGAAGCTTTATATTGTTTAGTTGTGAACTTTCTCGGTGGCAAATAGGTTGGTCTCGGCGAAGTTGTGGTCGTCGGCCGCTTCGTGTACTTCTTCGTAGTCGTCTTCTTGTCATCTAGAGCGGAAAAGAAGTCAGGTGGTGGCGGCAATATAATGCCGGGTACTAGCGGTCCTGGCGGTACAGCTGTCGTATTATCTTGTGGATAATAGAAGCTATATGGCGGCGGATAATAAATGGACTGATCTTCCTCGTCGTAATCCGACTGATTACCTGGCGGTGCCACAAAGACCGCTCCAGGCGGTAGAGTGTGATAGTACGGCGGTTCAGGTTCCTCGGATTTTATTCCCTGGTCATTTTTACCTCTAATCGACTTCTCCTCAATGGAGAAGTTTTGCGGGGGCCCGAAATCCGGGGTGAATATTGTTCCATTCGCAGTGATAGCAAAGAACGGGCCTTCTCCCGGTAATAATCCCTTCGTGTAGAGAGGATCGGTGCTGTAATCGAGGGTGCCGTTGCTAATCTCCTCCGCGGTGCCGTTCGGCCTGATGATCTGTACTGGTTCTCCATCCGCGAGTTGTACCGGAAAGGGCGGCGGTACCTTGGGCCGCGTTGGTATTTTGACCTGCCGTTTGGGCGCCTTGTAATCATCGATAGGCGGCCACTTCGACTGCGTGCTATCACCGTTTTGTTGACCGTCTTGTTCATGTTCAGGAAATTTCCCGCCTCTCAACACTAGCACGTGATTCTCAGCCAGCCAGATCTCCTCTTCGTCGAGACCACCTAGGTTGTCGATCGTATCTTTCGGCACTTCAGGATTGCCGAGGTAGCTAATGATGCCGGGCCGTTTCGGCCGATTGCTGTAAATCTCGTTCTGTATGAGGCCGTACTTGCCCTCCTTGACCTGTTGGGAGAGCGTTTTTTTCTCGTCCTCGTCATCGCCGCTGTTGCCGCGAGTGTTTTTCCCCTCCTTGCCGTTGCCGGCCGCCGACATGAGAATTCCATCGTCCCATAGTGATTCGCCGCCGTCACCGTGTTTCGTATCGGTTCTTAGATGACCCCCAATCAGACGGTGAGACACTTTCCTTCCGGGTTCCGCGGTAATCTCGTTCGTCGTGCTGCTCGATAATCTCGTACTCCGATCGCTTGATGCGTCTTTGACCGATCCATGACTAGATTCTTCGATACCAACATGTCTCCTCTCCCTACTTGTCGACGATTCCGTTATCGCCGCGCATGCCGCTATCAGTATTAGAGCTAGTGGCAGCCTCCGTGGAAATATCAGACGCGTCATCTGAAAATAAAACGCACTTGTATTATTCATCTCGCTTTTTTTTTACATATGTGTATTTATTTCTGGAACACGATCAGAAAATATTTTTATTCCTCGATTAGAGAATAGTTATTTCTATTCCGCGCGCGGAATAATATAACGGGAAAGTACGTAATCTTGTGTACACCTTGAAATGCATTTTATTATTCAGACTTGATGCGCTAATTAAATAACGCGCTTAATTCTTCATGCTGCGTGAAATGACTTTTGCGTTTAATAGGTCAGTAAAAAGACTCGCACACACGATGCAAGCAGTTTGTTATTCACAATGACCGGAATTGCACATAGATATAACGCGCGCTTTCCAACGTATGTCAAGGATCTAATTGCGTAACAATGCCAATTAAGTCATGAACAAAGTATATATTTATTCGCGTTCTAGCCAGATTACTACTGTCCTGCAATTTAATTTCATGGGAACACAGGAATATGATTCTCTATTATTATTTGAAATTGTGTCGCCAGAAATTTTTAAAATATTCCGACTATCTTGTTGATAGAGAATATTAAGATATATTTTAACAAATTAAACAAAATTATTAAAATATTGTGAATGATTCAAAATTTATTAGATGAATAATTTAAAATGTTAGCGAGTTACTGTCGCGAGATAAATTTCTTGCAAATCGCACGAGACTTCTTAATCTTCCGAGACTTTGTTCGTGCATTCGGAGAATTCGTTAATTCCGCCGATTGCAGTGATATGAGAATGCGATATTGTGGAGGGAGGAGGGAGGGTGCCACGCCTTTCCCTAGCGAATAGATCGGTGAACGGTCGACAAACATTCACGGGTCACCGGAGTAGATCAGCCAACTCTTGTAATGACTTGCGACTGAGTAACGAATCGGAGCATGAGCAACGTAGGTTTCAACGTAGGTATATATGTTGTATGCTCGGTTAGCCAGATGCATTAGTGGCATGTATGAGCGCATTGCCGCAACATTGCAACGTGGTCGTGCAAATTTGCGGAAGTAACGCCAGCGTGAGCAACACGATAATGCACTTCCGACAGTTTCGCGGACGTCGCACTTTGCCTATCTTGATACTTTTCTGAAAATTTCTAGTTTCCTCTGACGACTCGTTTATCCGCGACCCAAGGATGCGTCCTACGCTATTTTGATACACATCCAATCAATTACACTGTAGAATTGTTATAAATAGAAAGTTGTTATATAAACAATGTTATGTACGTAATACAATTAAAATATAAATTCGTAATAGTAGTATAAAGTATTGCGCATTAATCTTGAATTTAAATATTAATCAGTAATTGATGTAATCTTTAATTTTAATTTTCATAATTGCTATAACTTTTCAAATTTATATCTGCGATTTTGATTTTCTTATTAATTCTAATTAAATCATATTTATTTAATAAACGCGAAAATTAAATTGTACCTTTCTCCCCGCATCCGGAATGACAAACATTTACCAGGATTTCTGGTATGTCGTTGAATTGCTGTAATTGAACTGTCACATGCAATAATACGCTTCTTCCGAGAACTCGCAAGGTGGCTAGTCCATACGATAGAGACATAAAACACCTTACGTGAGTTCACTACTCGATTTCTCCCCGCAAATAACTACTTAATCTACGCGAACTATGTGACGGAACATCGGCGTTTATCCATGCAAGAAGAATGAAAACACAAAATATTCGATCACTAATGTACGTGATCAAAGTCGTTAACATATCCTTAACATTTATGAAAAGAATTTATCACGTGATTTATCATGAACATTATAACATAAATAGTATAAAATATTAGATATATAATATTTATCGACGATTTTTTACCAATATAATTTTATAATCACACTTTGTTAGAATATCAGTCTTAATTTTCAATGAATGTTCTAATCATTCAAACTCTTGGATTAGTTAAAATCTCAGAAAGTAGACGCGATTTTAAAGTTGTACAAATATATTAAAACTTTTTATTTCATTTTTATTCGTTTTGCATCACACTTTGATTGATTCTGTAATTTAATATATTCACTTTCTGGTATTTAATCGACACTATCCACATTACGAACGAATAATTAAAGTTTTATATATTTTATCAAAAATCGCGTCATGATATATTTCATGGATTTTCGATTGTTCTTAATCAGCTCGCGACACGCAATTTCGACATGCATCGTGCAGATAAGTCACGTAAAGTGATTTTCCCACGTTTGAATAAATCTTCCAATTAATGTCCTTCAATATAAAGGCGCGTATAAATTGATCGTCGATTCTACACCCTGACAAGCGACCACGTGCGTTTTTGATCGGTGGGCGATTCGACTGAAAAAACGTGTCGGACTTTGACAGAACCGCGGTATAACCGTTCGTAGCGGCATGGTACACGTGACTGATGGATTTTCATCACCCTTTCTCGGTGTACTGGACCCCTCCAAGGACGTTCGTCGGGGAAGGTGGCATTTCCAAGCAGTAGCGATACGTGTACGCGGCTCGTGTACAATGGAAAGGAGGAAGCCGTAGTCGATTCGTACGATTAACGATCATAATTAGATCGTTGCTTAGTATCTATCTAGCATTATTTCAGCGTCGCTGGTTACACTGTCTTTGCGCGGGGGAGGGCCACGTAACTTCGAAAAGTACAATAAACGCGTAATATCGCGGAATCCTTTCACTTTTGTATCGGGAATCCAACTTATTCGACTTGCTTACTTTTTAGAGCGGTACTCACGTGACAGACGGCGAAAGAATTGCGTGCATTTGCTCGGATTATCCACGCGATTGCCTAACCATCCGGTAACAAAAATTTTTTGTACCGGTAATAAGTGCGCTTTGCTCATAAATCACACCCACAATGTATATTCCGCTTCGCTGTCTAGTTTCGCTATCGGCGCAACACGCGATTCTCCTTTATAAAAGTTCGTATGAATAGGCAATTCTTGATTCATTCACCGAAATTGCGTTCTTGAATCAGTTCACCGACTTCAACGCCCAGATCTGATATTAACTTAGAGTTTTGTTGGCATATTCGAATTGTGTGAGAGAACTTTGAATAATCTTTTTGTTGCTCTGCCTCGTGTATTTCACATAACATTCCTGGCAGAGCGTGTAATGGCTTTGTAAATGAGATTTATTGCAAATGAATAGAGATCATACACGTCGTCAAAATAAAGGCGACCTGGTTTCACGAGATGAAAGTTGAATGATTTTCGAGACATGATGCAAGCCTGCTGCGATCTCTGCTGGCTGGCAGGTGCCATTATATATATTATCTTTACGAGACCTGCTTTAGTAAACGTTTGGAATCAGATTATTATAGTCGCCGTGTCGACCAGTAGAGAGAGTAGATCGTTTCGGAAAAAGTCGGAAACTAGTTAGTAGACGTAATAATTATGTTATAATTATCTTGTCACGCGATAGCTTGAAAATTCGAAAAAAGAAGAATATATATTTTTCTCGATTAGAAATTATTTCTTTATTATAAAATTTATTGTAACTTTATACATATGTAATAACTAATATATTTATTATGTTATTGTTTTATTTGTCTCTACGAAATATTAATCATTTTTGCTGAAAAATTCATATTTCATTAATTCATTGACGTACGCAAATCAAATTGTTCAAACATGGAATTTCCCCTGGCATAAATTAATATCCCGAGAATATAACGGAAGTCGGCCTTGGACGCGGACCATCGAAGCTGAGTATTCCATGATAAAACGACATTGAGCCATCGCACTAGTTCCGCGAGAGTGAAAGGTCGGGATGGCGGAACAAGATCTCTTTGCGAAAGAACTTCAAGTTGATTCATCAGATAGTTATCATTGGTTTTGTTAGGCCAATCGTACCGATTGTAACATGATTCACAGCTACAGTGTTATTTTAGCATCAAGTACCGGAAACATTTCTAGTTGTGTTACTATTAAAAGCACGATTATCTTCGTATATTTTATGATATCTGGAAAATATGATATTGATTTTTTTATTAGTCGTATAACTAATATTAATCGACGAGTATCTTGTAACATGAACTTATACACGGACATCATGTAAGAGCCGCGGATCTATCCGTTATTTAATCGAATTTACGCTTTCAGTTACTTTCCTTTTTGTTTCGCGTTGTGCTCGCTGAGCAGGATTAATTTCTCGACGCAACGTCGAGTGATTTTCGGCACGTCGTTCGCTCGCTCGCACAATGATTTTACAACCACGCATAGAAACTTTTGGGGCACGAAATCGGTCAGACACACCTTTTTGCTTACAGGAAATCAATAATTGACTTTAACATCCTGTGCGACACGCCCCTTTGGGATACTTCTTTATTTAACCATCTTCTATCAGCAATTTATAATTACTTTATTTATATCTCGAATATTTTATTCATCACTCGATAAATTATACGATAGATTATTGATAGATAAATAATTTATGTTTTTTCCTTCTAAACTCCCGCGCATTAAAGCGATAAAATCGGAGAAAGCTAAAACGAATGCGTAAAGTGCTTTGATATAAAGAAAATTATACCCATCACTTAGAGAGGCAAGGATAAGTCTGATTATCCGTGTTACCTAGACACTCAAATAGATACGCTGCACTTGATGCCATATATTAATGTGTCGCTTCAAGCTATGAGACTCGTGAATTAAATTACCATGTTGTGGATATGTCATTAATCCACTTTCTTCTCTGTATATATGTATAAATTATATTCTTAGATTATTTTATTATACCTCTAAACCGATGCAAAATATATAAATTTAACATCTTATTTGTTGTTCGCGTTGCATGAATTATTTTTAACGTATCAATGACGTGATGTCAATGTCGTATCAATTATATCAGTTTTATATTATTTTTATTAAAAATTAAGTTTTGCTTCTAATGAAAAAATATTAAGTTCATTTACGTATTATCCTAATAATATTCCATTACTTAGCAAATATAATTGTGTGATTGTTCGCACGGGGATTAACACATCGCGCGGTAAAATATTCAATCTACGAATACGCTGTGTCACGTAGCATTCACGTAGCATCGTATTTAATGATGATTATCGGCGCGTATCGTTCGTTAGAGGTGAATCCCCCGGCTCCATGGCGCAGAAGAAATCAGCGCCGTAGAAATGACAGGGAAGAAGTAACACCCGGAGTGGAATACCTTGGCATTGACCGGCTTGCTTCGCCGAGGCAGACCGCGCGCGCTTGCATAATCTGCTCGTCTCGTCTCGCTCATCCTGGAGCACCTCTCACAACGGATTACGGCATCGACCGCATCTCGCAGTAGGCGGCGAGCATCTCGCTCTTGAGATGGCTCTTACCGGTAATTGTTCGCGCAGCGGGATAATCCTAACGGCGTGTATAAATACCCGAATGCAAAACGCGCACGAACGGTATTCCTTCGGGTCGACGACTGGAATTGCGTTGCAAATGAATTCCTCTTCCGTTTATCGGCGGAAAATCTAGAGACGGAACGACGGACGCGCGATGTCTTTCTCCGTTATTACAAATTTCGAGGACTCAAAGAAGTATTATATAAGTTAATTATAACTCTTTTTCTCTGCAAAGCAATTTCATTTCTTTATTTTGGTCTTATTTATTTGGATGTGATTGTATGATCTATTCTTCAGTATGGAATTATAATCAAGGCGGGTCGGAAGTTTCCTTAAAGAAAACACTCTGAGATAAATTATTCTTTATTGCTCGTTAAAATAATTATTTATATAGTAATCTTGTATATATAGATAAAATATTATAGTGGGATGACATTTGGAGCAGATATATGATGTTGCGAATCGTATAAAGTAGTAAAATAATATATTTTGCCATTTTGGCAAATTATTTGCATTTTTTTAATGGCATTTGATCACTGCTTGTATTTTGCACGTTACCGAGAAGTATATAATTTTCATTTTTTGTTCGTCATGAAATTTGCTTGACATCGATAGTCCTTCGATATAATCTTATACGCATATAAATCTTTATAATATATTGTGCAAGAGTGGCAGAATATATAGAGTGCAATATATAGTTGATGGTGAATATGGATAATACCGGTTTACGTTCGTACCTGTCGTTCGATAAGGTTAACGGTCCAATTTCGAGCCACAAAACGATTTCCAACGATTCTTGCCTTGATACTTTCCGATAAACGTAATATTGAAAACTTTGGAATGGAAACTTGAATCGCATATCAAACGATCTTGTTAGGTTGTATTTAAAAATCTAGCATAGTATGTATCGACACATACAAATCTCATAAATATTATTGATAAAATCTCATTTTTTACCACAAGAAATTACGCGAAATAATCACAAATCGATAGATTTCTGCAAAAAATTTCATTTTCCAGCTTTCACTTTTTAAGAAAAAATTAGGTAGATCATCAATATTCTTAAGTCTATAAAAATCTGCCAAAAGTATTCTCAATTTTTAACAGTAATGTTCCCTTTGAAGAATTTTTTGTGTAATCATGATGACCTTCATGTCTTGAGGCAACAGATGACCAAACTTGATCGGAGAAAAACTCAAAGAAACAGGTCAAACCGCAAGTCCTCGAGCGCTAAAGCTCAGAGAATAGCCGCAAACCTTCGTGGCGTAATAATTCGTATAATAAATACGTCTGTGCTAATCTCATCAGTTGGTTAGTCCCGTGTGTTTTCAATTCGCCATTGGTCCGATCGTTCACCTTCAGGATAGATAAGAACTGTAAATCTTGCAACACTTTCGAATGTACTTTGCGTTGCAAAATTATTATTTGCGTTCTTTTAAAAATAAAAAAAATTGAGCATGTGAAAAATCATTTTACATCTCTCCATTTTTTAAATTAAAATGACGATCCCGAATTTATAATTGAACAGTCAAAATAAAATAAAGAAGGTCTCTAATTTTGAAAAAAATGTTTTAATCTCTGGAATTTTCATATCTGATTCCACTCGGGAAGAATATAATTAGAAGATTATAATTAGATATATTTCTCCAGTGATAGGTTCACTTTTCGATCGATCGCTTTAACATTGTTTAATTAGCACGTGCGTGTCGCGATTTTATCATGTTTGCAAAACAGTCGGGCGATGAAACATGATCATCGGAATTCGCATCGTCGTCATTCGGGATTCCTGTCGATTGTTCTCTCGTGTTAATCGGCTCGTTTCTGACGCTAATCGCACGCCGGATTTCAAATTCGAACAGGTTTATCCCACGTGGTGAATCACAGTTTGAGCATCCAGACGAATATGATCGTGTGTTGTACATCGTCTATTGCGACTCTTTTATCCGCATTCTTCTACTCGCGTTTCGCACTCGCCTTCATTTCCCACGCTTGCGTCAATCTCTTTCATTCGCTACAAGTTAGACATTACCTACAATTAAGAATGAAAGGGGAAGCTGACCTGTGCAAGGTCGCGTCCAAGGTTCCGTTTGACGATCCTGTTCGTCATTTATTTGCTCTTCTTGTCGAAGGTCCATGATCAAAATGCACTCGTGAAAAAGACACTGTGCAAGATATTTTATATTTGGGCATGTGTCTTTTAAATCCTTTTTGTCTTTGTGAAAGTAGCGCGAGGTTTATGCGCAAGCCTTTAATTTATAATAATGATTATATTATTTCTTTCTCGCTCGTGAGATGTTTATAGCGTTTTATAAAAGAAGCATTCAATGCGAATATGATTATTTGCTTTCTCCGATTGCGCTTTACAATCAATAGCTTTCATATTATTCCGTATGAAATGCTCGATTATTTGCCGCAATACGAATAATACGTTATATTTACGTCAATTTTTGCTCAAACCGTACTTATACTTTGATACTTCGTATTCTCAGCGAGGAATCGAAAAGTTACCATTAGTGATCTCGTTAAATATGCGACTTTCTCTGTATGGTTACTGTTTTTTTGTTCGATAATTTCACGATTTATACACGAATTGCATAATTTGATAAGCTACAACGCTAGAAATATTGTGCAATCAATACGATGCATTCGACCTCTAATATCTGCGATCAAATTTTCGACCTAAAGAAAAATATATTTTTTGCAGAAAAAGATTTAAATGTTCATTTTGCATCACGATTATTTTTATCTTTGCTTCGCCATTATTTACGCATTCGCGAAATTATATAACATTCTCGTAAATGCAAGATAATGCTCTGACCGGTCTTAATAATAAATTGTAAATCATTATGTGCGAAGATTATAAAAATTACTTCTACCGGTTATATTCTTTTCTTTTGTCGAAAAAAGACGTGCATTAAATGTATAATTAAATAATATCGACACATCTTGAGCCAATTTGATATCGATCTTTAAATTTCCTAAGAACATATCATTGCGATCGAAAGAAATGATTCGTTGATCCGTCTTGGATTGTATTTAACTTCGAATATTTTTTTTTAGGCAGACATGTCAAAGTGAAAGCGATCAGCTATTGACAGTACGTTATAATTATAAGCCGAGATGAAAGCAATTAAACACGCGTTATGTTATTGCCGCGGTAAAGTCACCGGAAGTTCTAACTTTCGCAAGAGCGTGCTTGACCGGATATTCTGAGAGCCTGGAGCGAAATACGCGAGTACCGCGGGAACCATCAACGGCACCTTCTATTTCGTGCCACGATATAAGCTCGATTAATGTAATTCCGCATATACAAGTACAGAAGACGGTAGAAAGTCATAAAAAAAAAAAAAAAATTTCGAGAATATTTTTTTCATAATTGTGGACATCTTTTGTATATAAAATACATATACACGACTCTTTTATATTGAATATAAAATTTTATATGAAATATAAATTATAGATACGCACACACAATATTTAAGAGTTATGCTTTTCATACACAGACATTAGAGAACCGTCCTCTCTATGGGTGACGATGGATATGCAATAATGACCGACATCCTGGCGCGCATGATGACCGTGCACGTTATAATTAATATTTCTCGGAAGACCTAAACCTTCGTATCGTTTAGATAAATGGCACAGTTACGCATATTAAGTATAAATGTGGATACATTGAATCAACTATGCATTATCGAGAATATCGTGTAGTTGGAGAACAGATCATCAATTTTGAAAATTTTTATCTATGAGATATACGTAAATATTGTTCTGCAATAACTACTTTTTCAATCCTAAATCATACAAATGAATATATTTCTAGACATCTTCCTCAATATTTTGAAAGGCAAATTTAATTTTTTTTTTAAAAGAAAAATAATGATATTATTATCTTATTATTTTTAAAAATCATCAAATTAAAAAGAAATATATATTCTCAAATCTAATTGCTTCGCTTGAAAAATAAACACGATTTTATTGTTTATTTAGAATTTTATCTCACACGTGATTAAGTAAGCTACATAAGACTAAACAATTATTATAATGATTCCTAACACTGAATCTTTCAAGTCGAATATTTTCTTATTGTATGTCAGAAAAATTTTTTTCTCGCGACAACTGCATGAATATGCACTCACGATCGTCTACAATGCCGTATATCGGCGTCCTCGGCTAGAATCTCCCTCGATGCGCTCCGAAACGATAACTGGCTGGTTTAGGCACATGTATCGACAAGTGTACGCGCGGAAGAGATCTCAATGATGAAGACTCGCTTCGGCATATATCCCTTCTCCCATAACACACTCTGCTGCTGCGAGTTGTACGTGTCGCGAGATGCATCCACTACACTTGGACGACGATGCACGATAGCTTCCTGCGCCGCGTGACCAGTGATCTTTATATCAGTGGATCCTACTGGCCCTGCGCCAGAGTGTCGTCCCACTCTCTGTGGTCCCGCGATGCGACGCAACCGACGCGATGCGACGCGACGTTTGCGACTCGACAGCCGACACCGGTGCACACCTATGCACCTCACTACTATGTTACCCACGGTCTGTTGCGTGCCTCGCCGAAGGAAGGGAACGTGCCGCGTGTGCAATGTCGCCGGTCGTGCTTACGACTGCCGGCCAAGCCATCGTCCTGTTCCGTTCGCAGACCTCGCCCTTCCTTTTTCATGTCGGATTCGCGGTCCTCCCCATGTCTCTCGCTCAGTTTCACCTGCCCGAATCAGCGGACGCGATTGCGGGAGAGATCCCTTTCGTTACCCACTCTCAGAACCGATAGTCCTCTAGATTGCGCATCACGCTCGCGATGAGCCTGATTGGAGACGATCAATTTCGCGATGCTACGCATTCCGATGATTCGAGATCATAGATTAATGGATATATCATTGACCTATACTCTCCAATAAAACGCTATCGTGTTGAATTACTCGCCAATTTTATTTCGTTCTCTATTTGTGTTTCCTTCTCGAGACATCTGATCATATAGCGTTCGCACAGAAAAATAAAATTAAATATAATAAACGTGTATATATTAGGCATCATCAGAAAAAGATATTCCTGAGGTGTATGTAGATATTTATTGCCAAACGATCGTTTAAGCTATAAATATGCATAGATAATTTATTGCTTACACATATTATGCTTGTAAAAATCAAGGTCTCAAGGTTTTTGAACAGTTCTAGACGCTTTATATTATTTTGATGATTATTCGGACAGATGCGTGGTAATTTTTACTCTTCTACGCGAGCAATACGATCGGTCTGCTCGAGACGGAAATGGAAACGGGAAAACCTACTTCTTACCGGATGACGCCGTCTGCGCAAAAAATTGCGTTACGAGCTTAGCTAAAGGAATTTGCTAGGAATTTTATCTCGCTCTCTTGTTTGAATTTTTATCTCCAATTAATTTTTTACTCTTATCAATTCTCAATAAACGAGATTTTTTTATAGAATAATAAAAAATATTTGTTTAGAATGTATAAGTAAGTGAGAAATATCACTTGTATTATGTCATAATTTATTCATTTAATGTATTTATTTAATGCACATATATGTTATAACTTTTAATTTACTATCTGTTATATATTACATAATGATTATTTGATATAAATCGTTTGATGAGATGTACATTTAAATAAAAACTTTCTCAGCTTTCACCAAGAAGTCATGGTCCATTAATAGAAAGTAATTTGTACGTACAGCCCTTTTTAATAATAATAGGTAAACGAATTTATAATTATGCGCATATTACAATTTTATGTATATTTAATTCTTTAATATTCAATACGAGTATCGTATCTAAATTTTGTCCACAAGCTGATAATGAGCATAGAAACAGGTACAACGAATTTCTGAGTAATGATGTCAGTCATAAGTAATCACCTTGTGTGAACGTGATTTGCACCGATCGCATATCAATTGTCGCTAAAAGAATATTGATATCAAGTTAATTATAAATTACATTTTTACATATTAATATCTACATTAATCATAACAACAATTGATCATAGAACATAAGATAGCAGATAGAATAAATCTCTATATTAAAGAACATTATATGATATTGATTTTTTAATGATTCGATAATTTCAATTTGTCTGCTTTATTCGATCGTTTTTTCATGCTATACAATATTTATGTACATTTATTCAAAAAATTTATTTGATTTTTTACAATACCGAAAAATAATTATTCGTTGCTTGTATACAAAAATATGATATCTCTTCTTCTGAAATTTTTGCTTGAAGAATCTTATTGGATATTTAAAGCGAAATCGAGACATTTATAGTAAAATATGAGCCTGTTTGCATATAAAGAACTAAGAAACGATACTTTGTCATTCTAGTCACACGCGACAAATATGGATATGCACGAAAGTTTGATCGGGTCATATGCTAATCATAAAAATTTCAGACTGACCAATATAAAATCGATTGATACTTGCAAAAATTGTGTAGCTAATATATTTTTGTCATACAAAATATATACATATATTTAAATATATGTATTTAAATATAAATATAAATAAATAAATAAATAAATAAATATATATATATATATATATATATATATATATATATGTATAAGAAAGAAAAGATTGTTCCTATTATATGGTTATTATGTTTTTATTTATTTCTATTGTGCTTCTTGATATAATGCCATATCTTTTAGATTGAGCAAACCAAATCAAATCGATTTGCTTTGCTCGACCGCCGACGATTATTTGCTGTCAATGCTGCATCTAATGCTTTAATTAATCCTTTCACGCGACCAAATTTGTAGAACAGATCGTTCAGCGAGACAGATCGTGTAGCGAGATCGAGCTTTTCTTGATGACCAATTATGATTCCTTCTTTTGCGGTTGTTTTACGACGTCATCATTATATTCTCGGACTATGACGGAGTCATTCAAATGTGAGTCGTCACTGTGACGTCTTTTCTGATGCATCTGTCGGTCATATCCTTCCATGATGAAAAGATATTTTTAAGATATACGTTCATTCAAACGTGCATGTTTTTTTTCCCCTACGAACGCTTTGACTCAGCGAACAAGGTCGTCCGCGAAAGATTCGTCCTGAAAAGAGTTCATCTGCACTTCGAAGAAAAATTGCCACCGTGATCATTGAAAATTCTACGTAAATGAACGACGACGCGTTTATTTCGGACCGTCTGACCGCACGTGACTCATCGAAAGAAGAAATCCGTGGCATTATCAAGGTTGACATATGTCGTCCTTCGCCTTACAAATTTTTAGGCGCCGCTTCATATATTATAAGATCTCCGGACGCAATTTCTTTGCATTCTCAGGAGAACGCAAACATATATTAATCAGAGAGATCCTATTTGGAAAAAAGATGAGAGAGTATATAAAAAAATCATCTTATTATGATCGTAATCAATCATTTATTTCTTTAATATACTTCATTTTATAATTTAATCCTGTGCTGCAAAATAATCTATATTTAGAAATATTTTAAAGAATAATTAATTATCAAATTTTTATACATAATTTTATTAACAATGCTAATTGCTTGATGCTGCTTCTATATTTGTGCTTTCATCATCTTGAATATTCTCGTTGCTGTTAAACTATATTCGATAGAACTTTCTAAAATGGGTAACGTCGATATTAAACGAGACATTTAAATCAGGGCATTGGTCAAAAGAAGTATTCTTTTATCACTCAATCGTGAGATCAAAGAGATGTTATATATCCAGTTAATTTGTTCAATACAGTTCGCTGAATATGGTTTTGAGGTTCACTAACATTTCATGGTTACATTGCTATAGGAGATTTATATGCATATAACGTAAATAACTTTATTGAAGAGTTGTTAGTCTTTATTAAAACGCATAAACGAGAGACACAAGCATAAACTTTGAAGAAGTATAGATATAATCTCCCTATTGTTCCAGTCAACCTTAATTTCGTACTTATTAACACTCGAGGGAAACAATTTCGCTGATGCGCAATCTCGTCGAATTAACTTCACCTTCTAACGTTCCATTGTATTTAATATGATTTATATCGACTTTCCGATCTTAAATTTTAGACTAGAAGCAGAATGCGCTTGGAAAGTGCAAATGGAAATCGCGAGAGAAAATCATTCGAAAGATTTTCTTTTCAAGTACTTCCTGAGAATCGGGTTGGGATATGACACTTCAAGATCATAGTGAAATCGTGACTTTCAATGTCTTCACTTCCCACACCGTCGCGTTTTGACGCGATCATAATTCCTAATAGGTTAATACGCTATTAATTTAATTATAATATTTAACTTGATCCATAGCAAAATGTGAGCTGTATTATATACATATCCGTACATATTCGATTTGTATCAATTCTGCATGGTTATACGAAATGCATTGCATACAAATATAACGAATACGTAATCGTTATGCAACTAAACGTTATACAACTAAAATTATATAGCATAATAGCATAACGTTTGACACACACACACACGATTTTTCTATTTTCTGTGTTTTTTTTCGCTTTTTACTGTATACCAGATTGTATATAATTAAGTTATGAAAAAAATGCATACTTTACCCCCTTTTTATTATTAAAATAATTATAATCTTGATATTTATTAAAAATTATTAAATTATTAAATCATAATTTGCAAATGACTCTTTTCCTTTCAAACTTGGAAAGATATTATTGCTTGTTGTAAATCTATGCACTTTACTCGTTTCGGACGGTATAACACTATACGTTGTATGCTTTCAAACAAGCAATCTGTATTTTTTTGCCGGACATGTATGGCCTATTGTTCGTCATCACGGGCGTCATGCGCCTTTATTTTCCCGCGATTTTACAAGAAAGTGAGAAGGCGTTTTCTCGCGCTTTTTAATGAGCTCTGCTGGGAAGTGGGTCGAATTAACTTCAAGATCACGGCGAAAAGGTTGCTCCTTGTAATCGTGTGCCGTATGTCTAATGTAAGGTCTTCAATCGAAGCTTTACATCTCTGCGTTATTTATTTGAGACGTCGAAATATAAAATGAGCATGCACTCTCTTCACGTTCGTTTTTATTCATAAAGACTTCATGCAAGAAACGAGATCAGCGAGTTTTCACATTTATCTAGCGCTGCAATTAACGCTACATGCTGCTCTGGTTTATCTGTTTCATATAAAAATCGCGTTCAAGAGATACTATTTATGTTCGATGCTAAAGTAGATGTTGCGATAAGGCTAACATTTCAAGTACATTATTATCGAGAGAATTTTTTATGAGAACTATGCTATCTTTAAATTTCTAATAATTATTTACTACATAAACAAGTGGCATCTAATTAAATGATTTTTTGATTTCTGACTTTCTAATGGAACGATTTGAGAATTAGCGACTATGAAAACTATGAAAAGTATGTCGTTTAAATTTTCTAACAAGTAGCTAAATCTTGAATTATTACGACACTGCAACGACACTAGTTAAATCGCAGTTAATCGATTTCAGTAATAATCTTACGATTCGTTAGTTAGCAATTGTAAAACTAATTGACCTGTTTAGTCACATGAAAATATA